TACTGCTGTTGCCCACTTTTGCTGATGCTGATCAGCGGCGGCGGCCTAATTAGAAAATCCACTGGTGCCAACTTTTCAACTAGCTCAGTGCTGAGTCAGTGGAACACTGACCAGCTCTTTCTTTCTCTCCGGCGGTGTCACGATTGAGGGCTCATCGATTGAGCACTGTCACTTTACTAATTGATGAGATGAGGAATGGCACCAGAAAGTGCCAGAACACCGACGCCGACACCAACGCAGAAGAGAGCATGGCCAATTAAGCAGATTAGGTTGCAGCAGCAGCAGCAGTAGTAGTGCACACAAAGAATTCCGCCGCCGCAGACTCTGGTGCGTCAGCGAGAAGCGACCATTTGGGAGCACTTGCTCTTGCTGTTGTGTCTGCTAGTAACGAACCCTCGCTTCTACAACAACTACTACCATTTCTATGTTCATGTACACAAGCCTCGTACCAGCGCCCACGGCCTCGGAAAAGTGTCGGCGCCAGCGGAAGAAATTGCGAGAAAGAGGAGAGAGAGAGAGCAAAAGGAGACGCTCTCTTGAGCTTGGAACACTTGCCTCTCTCTCTCTTTGGGCGCTGGTGTGGTGCTGATTGAGTGGCGCCCAGTGCCCAGCAGCAGCTCAACTTTCGCGCACTCGGAGCGGAGGACATGTGCACAGCNTGGTGCTGATTGAGTGGCGCCCAGTGCCCAGCAGCAGCAGCTCAACTTTCGCGCACTTGGAGCGGAGGACATGTGCACAGCAATCTGGCGGCCAGTATAGGGGTTGCAAAAACTGCCTCCACTTACTGGTGGCCGTCGATTCGGGCAGGCAGTGCTGGTCGCGAAGAGAAAGCGCACTTTCCTGCCGCTTTTACTTCTACTTCTCAGCCAACTGCAGCCGTCCGCCCTATGCGCGTCATTCACGAGGACGAGCACTGCTGCTGTCAGTGCACCTCTGCTGTACTACTCTACTGCTCGAGCAGAGAGTCAGCTTCTCTCTTTCACTACCTTCTAGTCAGCACATCGCCTAACTGTCACAACACACACAAACACACGGTGCACAATCACACTTCCACAGCAAAGACTGGCCAACCAATATTCGGGTAGTCTAACTGAGTACGCTAAAAGTGTGTGTGTGTCCACGCTGGTCCCCCTGCACTGGCCATTCTGGGCACCAGTACTGACTAGAGTGCACCCGAAAGTGTGATTTACAGCCCCCACACGCCAACGCTAACAACACTAGCACCATGGCACTGAAGCTCTTGGTCGGTCAAAGTAAGCCTTCCCTTCAAAGCTGCCGCCTCCCAGCGGAGTGTTCCAGAGTTTTCCCCGAATTCAACTACTGTTCCATTCCATTTCATTACAATTTACGCAGAGATCATGAACGACGTGGTCCGCCCGGCGCACAAGAAGGGCGAGTGGAAGGTGCTGATCGTCGACCAGCTGGGCATGCGGATGATCTCCTCCTGCACGAAGATGCACGAGATCGCCACCGAAGGCATCACCATCGTCGAGGACATCGGCAAGAAGCGCGAACCGCTGCCGCACATGGAGGCCATCTATCTCATCTCGCCCACCGATCAGGTTTGTTTCAGTTTTTGATTGGAACTGAAGGGAAGGAGGGGAAAAAGATTTGCCTGCTCTGCTCTTCTTCTTCTTCTTCTTTTCCTTTCGATGATGAATATTTCAGCGCCTGTTTACTAATTGATGCCCTTATTCCCTTTCTATTTTTAGGAGGTAAACAAGCGAACCCTGACGCTGAGTCACGTGAAAAGGAGCGCGCGAGAGCGAGGCTTGAATTTATAATAACCTTTTCTGTTCATTCTTTTTCTTCTTTTGATCTCTTATCTCCCACTAACCATCACCATCACCACGACCATCACCACCGTCACCACCATCATCCTCGTCACACGTGGGGCAAACCTAAACAACAACAAAACCCAATCACCCCATCATCACCCCATCACCACCACAATCACCACAGTCTCTACGCCTTCTGCAGCAGGACTTTCTGAGTTCTCGCATTGCCCTGTACAAGGGGGCGCACGTCTACTTCACCGAGACCTGCCCTGATGAGCTCTTCAGCGAGCTGTCGAAGAGCCCCTGCGCCAAGTACATCAAGACGCTGAAGGAGATCAACATCGCCTTTCTGCCCTACGAGTCGCAGGTGTACTCGCTGGACTCGGCGGAGGCCTTCAGCATCTTCTTCAGCCCCAACAAGACGGCCATCCGCTCGGCGGCGATGGAGCGCTTCGCCGAGCAGCTGGCCACGCTGTGCGCCACGCTGGGCGAGTACCCGAGCATTCGCTTCCGCTCCGATTATGAACGTAACGCGGAGTTTGCCCAGCTGCTTCAGCAGAAGCTGGACGCGTACAAGGCCGACGAGCCGACCATGGGCGAGGTGAGAGATTGTAGAGCAACTGCTCATTTCGATTTTCACCTCTAATCACCACTTGTTTACCTTCCACACCCAGGGCCCCGAGAAAGCACGCTCTCAGCTGCTGATCGTCGACCGCGGCTTCGACTGCGTCAGCCCCCTCCTCCACGAGCTGACCTTCCAGGCGATGTCCTACGACCTGCTGGCCATCGAGAATGACGTCTACAAGTTCGAGGCGCAGTCGGCGAACAATGAGATGCGCGAGAAGGAGGTGCTACTCGATGAGAACGACGACATCTGGGCGGAGCTGCGCCACCAGCACATCGCCATCGTCTCGCAGAACGTCACCAAGCAGATGAAGAAGTTCGTGGACAGCAAGCGGATGAACACCAATACCACCACCACGGTGAAGGACCTGGGGCAGATGATCAAGAAGATGCCGCAGTACCAGAAGGAGCTCAGCAAGTACAGCACCCACCTGCACCTGGCGGAGGCCTGCATGAAGCACTACCAGGGCTACGTCGACAAGCTCTGTCGCGTGGAGCAGGACCTGGCGATGGGCACCGACGCGGACGGCGAGAAGATCAAAGACCCGATGCGCAACATCGTCCCTATCCTCCTCGACCAGAACATTCAGATCTTCGACAAGATTCGCATCATCCTCCTCTACATTCTCTCGAAGAACGGCATCACCGAGGAGAATCTGACCAAGTTGATTCAGCACGCGCAGATCCCGGTCGCTGACAAGGCGATCATCACCAACATGAGCTACCTGGGGGTGAACATCATCTCCGACGGTGGCCGCCGCAAGGTCTACCAGGTGCCGCGGAAGGAGCGCGTCAACGAGCAGACCTACCAGATGTCCCGATGGACGCCCATTCTCAAGGACGTCATGGAGGTAAGGGAAACGGGAGGGCTTACAGCAGTTTTGCTAGATTTGATCATGGAATCCTTTCCACAGGACGCCATCGAGGACAAGCTGGACACGAAGCACTTTCAGTTTCTGTCGGGGCGAAGTGCGCCGGCCAATTACGGACGCCAGGCGCCGGCCAGCATGCGCTACGGCCACTGGCACAAGGACAAGAACAGCCTGAACATCAAGAACGTCCCCCGACTGATCGTCTTCGTCATCGGCGGCCTGACCTACAGCGAGATGAGGGCCGCCTACGAGGTGACCAACAACTCCAAGAACTGGGAGGTCATCATCGGTAAGAGAGAGAGAGGCGTTTTCTTGTTGAGATTTATCACCACTTCTAACTCCTTTTCCATACACCACAGGCGCTGACAAAATCATCACTCCATCGCACTTCCTCGAAGAACTGCGCAATCTGAGCAACTGAGCGACTATCACCACTACAACAACAACAAAAATCTCTGCACCACTGCAACAGAACACTGGGTCCAGGACACAGACACTGCAACAAAACTAACTTGCACTTCGGCCAGCCAAGTTTGCACAGCATCTGGTACCAATCCTNGAGTAGAATTTTTTATAAGTGAGGAGTTTAGCACATATTTAACTCCTTTTGATCGCACCATAGGCGCCGACAAAATCATCACCCCATCGCACTTCCTCGAAGAACTGCGCAATCTGAGCAACTGAGCGACTATCACCACAACAACAAAGAAAATCTCTGCACCACTGCAACAGAACACTGGGTCCAGGACACAGACACTGCAATTTTTAACTTGCACTTCGGCCAGCCAAGTTTGCACAGCATCTGGTACCAATCCTAGCACCTCCATCAGCAGCACCTTCCCAGTCATTATTACTATCTTCATCATCAGTTATTCTAATCTCTTCTTGCCTGAACATTCTTTGCGGCGACAACTGTTTTTCATTTTATTTTTGTGCCCCAGTCTGTGAGGCAGGCGTGCGCGAGTCATCACCATCATCATTACCTTTTACTTTTACCGTTTTATTTTCGTTATCCACTCTCTCTCTCTTTCTCTCTTTCTCTGTGTACCCGGTTGATATATTTATTCAAGCTTCTAGCTTGGCTTTCTTTTCCNTCCAGTCCGTGAGGCAGGCGCACGAGTCATCACCATCATCATTACCTTTTACTTTTACCGTTTTATTTTCGTTATCCACTCTCTCTTTCTCTCTTTCTCTGTGTACCCGGTTGATATATTTATTCAAGCTTCTTGCTTGGCTTTCTTTTCCCTTTCCTTCTTTTTTCCTTTCCGTTTCTAATTTTTCTTACCTTACTTTCTTTCTTGCACTTTCTCTTTCTAGAGTGCACACCTTAGCAGACACCACACCACCACCACCTTTTCCCCACTTTTCG